AACTTATTCCGAATATTTTTATTTTTCAGGAAAAAAAAACTCAACATCGTCTCCACAAATTTGAAAATTCAAGTTATAAAGACCCAGAAAACATGTTTTCGGGCATATATACAGGGTGAGAAAAGTCATATATAACCCATGTTCCTTCCAAATAACTTGAAAGTTATACAGGGTTGTTGGTACCTAATTCGGTACATATTCCTTTGGAGATGTGATAGGGGAGGTGGTAGGGAGTAAATTCAACCATAATATGCATTATGCAAGAGTGAATAATTTTGGAGGTATTTAAATTTCTCTCTTTATCTGTTTATTTATTCACAAACAAAAATACGGCTTTGTTTTCACAATTCATCTATGATCTGAACTATTTCTGGATTTTTTTGATTCCAAACATAAGACCATATAGTACCCTCAGGGGCTCACAACTTGTGAGTACGGGAATGGTGAACCCGAGGTACCCTAGCCGGATATTCACCATACTTCAACTTGTCTTGGGTAATATCCTCTTCTCTCTTCCTTTTTCAATCTATCTATCGGCCTTTCTTGGTCAACTTCTCTTTTCCTCCTCCTCTCCAAGCCCAACTTCACCATCAAGTGGTGTGGGGAGGACAGACCGCGTCTGCTCAACGGATGAAGGATTTTGGGACCATCTTATTTGCTATCTCCGGCCAGATGGGACAATTTGTGGACATCTGTGGCAGGGATGGGGCGATTTGCTGATGTCTGTCTAGGTGGCCAAGGACTGGTCAATTATGCTCTGGCAACCTAATCCAAGCTGTGGGAACCCGTGGTGATGGATGAATGGCACCGAGGTATGGTGTCGCTAACGGGGCCTCTGGGAAACAGGGCGACATCTCAGAGTAAGTAGACTTAGCCCTGTGCAGGGGGCACCACAGGGCTGGACCAACACCTTTTCCCGTCACTATTACGAAAAGGAAAACTTGTGGCCTTCTTCGTAGACGAGAACAGGGATCGGAAGAGCAATCTTCAGGAACCAGAACGAAAAGGGTCTTTCATATTGAAGTGACCCTTAAGAAGCACCATGAGTCGTATATGGTTAAATTGATAACGGCATCATGCAGGTATAAGATACAATGGGCCACTAGGTCTAAGTGTCGTCGGAGACTTCGGTCAGACGAGCCTACAAACGAGGTGGAATGTTTAGTGGGTATACCTGGAGTCAGGGCGGGACTCCCACACTATCATATGGTGTCCATAAAGGATTTCAACCACCTCAAGGAAAAAAAAACACCATATATATAGTGTTGACCATCTATATTACAAGTTGAAAAGTTGAAAAAATGTAGATCAGATTTTCGGGAAACAAACTTTTAAACCATCAAAATCTAACTCTTGGGGGAAAACAGAAAAATTTGAATATCTCGATCAAAAACTATCTACTTTTGCATTTTGCGTATTAGAGGGTTTAATTCACTATTTACCGTCTCCCCTATCAAATCTCCGAAGGAATGTATCGAATTACCAGAAACACTGTATAATCAGTTATTATATTAATCAAGTCGTAATGATCAACTGATGAACAATCGAGTTCAATCCACTGGAGAACAATTATCACATATGGATCCGAGAGCCTTTTGCCATTGATGATATCGAGTGTTGTCTTGAAGTGAAATATTATAGATCAAGATGAAACTTACATCATATAGTTTGGATCATTATTGTGTGACTTCTTCATTATCTGTGATTGGGCTGGTGTGGACTGTTATCACTTCTCTGAAGTCCAATTTTGCTAGGTATGGTATACCTAAAATATTGAATAGTGATAATGGTCCACAATTCAATAACTATAAATTCAAAGAGTTTGCAGAAAAATGGAAGTTCAAACATGTCACTTCAAGTCCTTACTATCCAAGGTCTAATGGGATGGTAGAACGATATGTCCAAACATGTAAACAGTTATTAAGGAAAGCAGATGATAGTGGTAGAGATCCTTATATAGCACTCATGGAGTACAGAAATACTCCCATTGATTCGCTGTTGAATAAATCTCCTTCACAGTTGATGTTTGGTCATGATATAAATGCTTTCTTACCAACCCAAGAGACATTTGTGTTAAAAAATAGTCAGGCTGATGTAAAATCTCATTTAGAACAAAAACAAAGAAATTACAAATACTTTCATGATAGGAACAAGAATTCCAATTTAAGCAATTTCAGTTCAGGTGAAGTTGTGTACCTAAGAGATAATGTCCATAACAGAACTCCTTGTAAAATACTAAGTGAAGGTCAACGACCAAGGTCCTATGATATTATGTTACCAAGTGGAAAAACTGTTCAGAGAAATAGGTTTAATTTATATAAAGCTTCACCCACTGAAACCCTTAGAATGGATCCTGAAATTAGTGTTAATAATGAACAAATGACTAATAATAATGATGTGCATCCCTAATAACACACTTATGTCCCATGGATGTACTTAGGACGTCCTGTCGGGACTTCCAGGACGTCCATAGGACGTTCGAATTTGTACCGTGGACGTCCATTGGACGTCTGTGGGACGCACAAATGTCCCACTTGAGGACCAACTAGGGACGTCCTTGAGGGATGTCCCTGGGACAACTATCGAATACCTGAATCCTACAGTATTCCTCATCAAGCACTACAGAGGAAATCCTTAGGACATCCATAGGACAACCTATCAGCAACGCTGAGGGATATCAATTGGATGTTCATAGGATGTCCCAGGGACGTACGAATTATTCTTGAATTCGAATTTTTCTGGGTTCCTCTTGGACCAGATCTTGCATAACTGATTAGAACATCCAGTTGAGATGATGGTCCGTAGAAGGTCCCCAAAAAGTTTCCCAAGGATGTCCAATGGACTTACGTGAAGGACATTGACGAAGAGTACTTATGGCCTACGATCAGTAATTCGTCGGCGAGATGTAAGTTAACGTCCTCGCAGGGACAACATATTGAAAGTACCGACTGGGACGTCCATAGGACGTTATTTCTAGGACATTGAAAGAGTACAGTTCATGTACCAATTGGGACATCCGACGGATATCCCTAAGGGACGTTCGAGGGATGTCTCTAAGGGACATTTCGACTTTTATTCGATCCTGGAAATATTAAGGGCGCCTGTGCAGAGATATTCGAAGGAATTTACCATCAGAGACAATTCATGGTTATCTAGAAACTACATTATATAAGATCTGAAGTCATGCCAGAATATGTACTACTCGGGACATCCGATTTTCCTGAAGGAACGTTTAAAATCATATCCCATCAGGGACATGCCAAGGACGTCCTTGTATGGACATTTCACAATATGTACCACGTGGGACGTCTGAGGAATGCTATTTCTAGGACATTTGAAATGATGTACCAGCTGGGACATTCCGTGGACGTCCTTGCTCGGACATTGCATGAGATGTACGGGATGGGACGTCCCATGGACACTTATTTTTGGTTCGAGACATTCGGACGTGAATTGTACCAAATAGGGACGTCCCTAGGACGTTGTGTGCTATTAGGGATAATGATATGACCTCATCAATAGAAAATGATAATGCTACATCATTGTCACATAATAGTTCAACAATGTCCAACCAATCTAATGTGATGAATGATTATGTTTCTCAGAGATCCAGAAGGACTATCAAAAAGCCCTCTTATTTGTCAGACTATGTCAGTTACTGACTTATTTCCTGTTTATTCATATATAAAAAAAAGGAGATGTCAGATGTCAGCTTAAGACAGATGACATTAGTTCCGTGTGAGGAGAAGGGGAGCATAGAAATAGGCGGTAGTTGAATGATGACTGTTGTACAAGATTGTTTATTCTTACAAGTTACACTTGAATAAAATATAAAAAAAGCTAAAATCTTGTTTGAATAACATGACAGTTGCTGAATAAGTCATAGCTGAATGCTGCGCTGAAAGATTAAATGATTGTATTCTCTACTAATCCAAAGCAGGCAAAGTTATGCATACCTATAGTAATTATTGAAATTGTTCTAAAAAATTGTTCATGATTCATATGTAATAAAACCTTGAACATTTTCAAAGTTCTCATATTCATGTAACCGCCAAACATGTCCAAACTATAATTGCATCTGTTTGTCCATTGTTGTTCGTGATATCATAATCTGAAGCAGGAATAAGTATATTTAGCTGTGCAAGTTTGAATATATTTTTGTTTCCTACTTACTCTGTATTTAGTTTTATTTCCTTCCATTTTGTACAAAAGTTCACTAGAAAGCCAAACAATACAGCACTAGATAAAATCTTCGTTGAGAGTGTTGGAACTTGAAACAACATAAACAAAGGGACTAATATACGCCCAATAAACTCATTGTAAACAACTATACGCCATACTATGAATAATATTGTTGCCACTGCAAAATGATCAAAATAAATTCACGCGAGCGAGGGATGCCAACGTAGAGAAAAATCAACACTAATCTTTTCAAATTGTACGGCAGGCCTTTCGTAGTATGCTGACATCGACATTTGCACGCCGTTCTCGGCATGGGCCCGACTTTCTACCGCCTTTCGATACCACCCCTACCCCAGTTCATAATTCTGATTTTTGAACCACCCTATATATTCGTCCATTCTTTGACATAAGAATTGACGCTTTCCGATTGGTAGGTGAGACTATAATGATATTTGAAATGCATCAGTTTAGGCAAGAATAAAACACCAATTGTATTGATAAGTGTTGAGAAATTTCAAAACGACACTTTATATCCAATCTCTGTTAAAATAATATGTTCCTGGAATGATTATGCGTTAGTGTTCCAGGAAACGGAAACCCAGCCGATTTGGAACTGATTAGATCAACAATAATGAAAATGTTTCGAACTGTTTATTGCATAATATAAGGAATAGGTTGTACCTATGATAGTTCAGTAATCAATTTGATGTGTGTTGTATTATATAATAATATAATATATTCTATATTTTTTGATAATGAAATTATATTGAAAAAAAAAGAGAAAAAACTCAACCACCCACCCACCCTGATTAATTGTAGGTATACAATTTAATGAACCCGTCGAAATGACATCTGCATATAACACCTTGAAACTCAAGGTCTTCCCTTACTTGAAAAAATTTAAAATCAAAATTGAGATGAATAACCACTAATGATGAAGCTGCCGATTACTGATTACAATGAGTAATGGGGGTAAAAGTAATAAAATTAACACTATTGGTACATGTTCTCCTTTCTTAAAAAAAATAAGGAAAAAATATAATGACACTAATCAATTCTATTTTCAACATTTTATTAAAAAATATCACAATATTTAATACCTAAATAAATACTATTATGGAATAATACGATTAACTAGCGCCTTTATAAATTATTCTCTCATTGAGTAACCTATCAACAAATTTCTGATGTTCAACACAACCTAGACGTTGTCCCATTTTGACTCTATCTCCAGGCATAATGGAGAATTTGAAATTGTCAGGAGCCTCAAATATCAGTACTATGGTTGAACCCATGCGGAACTCCCCAACAATTTCACCTTTCTTAAGACCTATTGCACTGCCAAGGTGGTGTTCTCGACATTGTTTGGATCTGTTTGGTTGATTAGTTTGTAGAGTATCATCAAAGTAAACTTTTACAGTTCCAACGTTTGTAGCCCCTGTAATGAACAACAATTAATAATGGAAGTTTATTTCTAGATTCTTATGGTGTAGTTAATCAGCAGATAGCGCACAATTATTTCCGTGATATTTGCCAGGAAATTAGTTGTATGTTCAATAAAACAATAATTTTGAAAAGGGCATGACGCTGAAAGAATACACAGGGTTCAATTTGAAACTAAAAATTTGGATGAATTCCGAAAACAACTGATGCTGGAAGAATAGTGTTTCTTATCGGTCAGTGAAAGAGTAGTTAATTTCATATTACGCAGCGAATTTATTAAGGGATCTCAATCATTATTCTAGTAAACATGTAAAATATTATCGTTATATATCTGGCAAGTTGAGAATTCGAAATAATGCTATACGAAATTCAATATTATGTAGGCATATACAACATTATACAGGGTGGGGCATTAGTGCGTCGGAGCTTGATTACGAATGTGAATGAGACAACAAGGTCCATAGCTAGAAATTATTGCCGCACCGGAAAAAATCTAGAGGGTCAGGATCACTTTTTTTAAATGGAATGCCCTGTATATTAGCACATTTTTTGAACCATCCCCTGTGACCTCCAACAACTCCTATGATATTGTTGACTATATCTCGATCATTTCAAAGTTATTAATTTTCATGTCGAAATAATGTCATCTGAAGATGCATACCGAAAAAATTACTGTAGTCACAATTAAGAATTTCAAGAGAGAATAATCATAAAATCATTTGATGGAAAGATGTGTGATATTTCTGTATAATTTTCATGCCCTCAAATTATACAAGGTGGCTAAAAATGATTTTTCAATTCAGAACTTGTGGATGTGATTTTGCTCGAGTTTTTCAAATGGAACACCCCATATATTTTTAGGCCATTTGGTGTGAGATGAAAACACGAACATCTTTCATCTCAACTTCCACATTGATATTCTTAACCATTTTTGAATTATTGATCTTCGAAATATACAGTGTGTCCCTAGACCAGTGGGACAGTTGAATATCTCCTGAACCAATAGGAATTTTCAAAATATTATGATTTCACATCATATCGCATTATGAGTGCTAACTTCAGAAATGACTATATTTTATACGAGGGGCGCAAGAAAGGCTCACAAAATCGAACATCAATTTTTTCAAATGGAACACCCTGTATTTCATTGCATTTTCATATTCTCCTTGATGAGCTGAATTCAACGACCTAGCACACTTGGAGTCTAGCGGGAATGATTTCTGAGATATAGGGTGTGGAAAATCGAGATTTTTCATTTTTGGGGAATTTTTTGTGTCAAAACTATTCATTATTGGTCAAAACGGATTACATGTCCAGATCTAAACTTTTGATTTACTATTCACTCGTATTTAATTGGAACAAATACAGGGTGGTGTAGAATTCTGACTGAAACTGAAAATACTACACCACCCTGTATTTGTTTCAATTAAATACGAGTAAATAGTAAATCAAAAGTTGAGATCTGGACATGTATTCCGTTTTGACCAATAATGAATAGTTTCGACACAAAAAATTCCCAGAAATATAGAATCTCGATTTTCCACACCCTATATCTCGGAAATCATTCCTGCTAGACCCCAAGTGTGCGGGGTCGTTGAACTCAGCTCATCAAGGAGAATATGAAAATGCAATGAAATACAGGGTGTTCCATTCGAAAAAATTGATGTTCGATTTTGTGAGCTTTTCTTGCGCCCCTCGTATAAAATATAGTCATTCCTGAAGTTAGCACTCATAATGCGATATGATGTGGAATCATAATATTTTGAAAATTCCTATTGGTTCAGGAGATATTCAACTGTCCCACTGGTCTAGGGACACCCTGTATATATCTGTTATTAAAACATCAAAAGTCCAATAATCAATAAAATATTGAAAGAATTGATACCAGACTCAGAGCAAACATTGATAGTTCATTTGCTAGTTATTCACAAAGTGAAAAAGAACTAAATTCCCATTTTGCATAATTCTGAATTATTATCCTGGTTTTATTTTATAATGTTCTATGAATTTATGGGATATTTTGAAGATGGATTTTTATTTTACTTTGTAAATTACTAGCATATGAACTATACAAAAATTTAATGATCTCACAAGGTACATATATGAATGCATTGTCTATATGCGAGAAAATATTAGTCAGTACAAAACTCATGGCAACATACATAATCACTATACAAGAAAAAGAGACAATATTAGGATGAACAATCTTAGACTCAATAAATCTAGATATGGTTCACTCTATTATGCTCCAGAATTTGATAATAAACTACCACACGATATTAGGGATTTCACAATGAATAAACTCAAAATTGTATTAAAAGATTACTTGATTAAGAAAGCCTTCTACAGCTATGATGAATTCCTTAACAGCAGAATCGAGATGTAATGTACTTTTTGGAATGCTATAGGATATTGATATTTTTAATTAGTTATTTGTTGTTATTGTGTGACACCTATTTTTTATCTATTTTATCTATTTTATTAGTATAATTGTGTTGTTGACCTGTGTAAAACTTAATGTTTATCAACACCAAATAAAATATTCTATTCTATTCTATCTGATGTTTATCTTTAATTCTGGTTTCAATTCTTTCAATAAAAAAAACAAGTTCACTAAATTATTGATTGGACTTTTGATGTTTCAGTAACTGATGAGAATGTGTATTGATGAAAATGACCAACCTATAATTTTCGAAGGTCAATAATTCAAAAATAGTTACGAATATCAATATGGATGTTGACCCCCTAGATTTTTTCCGGTGCCCCTGTATATGCGACAATAATTTCTAGTTATAGAGCTTGTTGTCTCATTCACATTCGTTTCTGAATCGAGTTTCTAGCTGTCATAGAACTCGAGCAATCGAGCTCCGACGCACCAATGCCCCACCCTGTATATGTTTTGATTTTCCAATTATTTTCACGGACAATACCATCTCTCTTGATTTTTAGAGAACACATTATATTAGTTATGTTTCAATTCAGTCACATCCACCATAGCTACGATTAAAATTTAATTAATATGGAATTGGCTTGATCATCAAAAGTTGTTATTATCGTAATGAAAAATAAAACATTGAAGAAATATTCATCGTCCTGGCATGACAAAATATAATATAGGCCAGTGAAAATCGACACAAAAAATCACTAATTCGCAAACATGATGTATATCTGCTTCTTTTGTGCGTTCTCTTGTCCCATCAGGGTAGTGTATGCCCAAGTTTGCAACTCCCAAAAAGTTGTGAAAAAAGCGCAGCACACAGAAAAACGCGAAATTTTGGAACTTTGCCATGTCCGGCAAGCGTCTGGGAATTTTGAGATAGACATTCTCTCACCTACCAACAGATTTTCATTATCATTATCATCGAGGTCCATGAGAGAATGGCTATCCCAAGAATTCCCGAACAAGTGGATAGGTCGTAGACAGCTCGTTTGCCGGACTTTGCATCCAATGATTTCATTCTACGGAGTAATTTGAAATTCCTCATCTATAAAACGAAACCCACGGACATGAACGATTTGGAAAAAAGAATATGAATTGAATGCCAGATAAACCTCGTTAGTTTAGAGCTTATTGAATTGCCTACAACTTGAATTTCAGTAACTAACTGATCTAAAGAGCTCCGATTCGGCTGAAATGTCACACATTTAATACTCTCCAAAAATTTCAGTGAAGGTTTTCGTAGAAAAATGCATAGTTTGGGAGATACCGAGGAAAAACTAAAGTTTCAGAGAATTGGGGTCCAAACAACATACTAAAAAATCAGAGATACAGATACATCATGTTTTGATAATTCATTATTATCGATTTTGACTGACCTATCAGTTGCCTATCAGCATATAAACTCATAATATCCAATCAATATTTGTGATACGTACCTACTGCAGTATAAGAAAAGAATCCATGTTCCCACTGTCCCAAATAAACAGCTCTCTCATTGAGGATAAATAATCCTGGCAACCATTTTGCAATACTGGGATTAACTGATAGAAGTTCTCCTGAAAAGTGCCTACGGTGAGTTGGTTTCCATTCGGCTGGTGAATGAAATCTATAATTAGATAAAAACACATAGATAAGTTTACTTAGCCACAACATGAAACTATTTTATTTCAAGTGGATTGCCCAGTCAATAATAATAATTGATTCCAGAGTAGCAAAAACACTGTGCGAATGAATATGAACATAACATTCTGACTATTTTATTCCAATTATGATATACATAAATTCACAGGGTTAGTTTCATTTGTAAACAGTGAACATTTGTACAACCTGCATACACGTAACTGATCAATCAAATGCAGAAAGTTATAGTTTATATGAATATTTTTATTATAAAATCGCAAGTATTCACAAAAAAGTCCCCCAGATTTGATCATTGACAGACATATACCTTCGGGTGATTATATTCATTGTGATGAAATGATTTAGCTGATTGAGTTTATGATCCGGACAATTCGCCGAATGGACAAGTTGCTGAAAGTGGTCACGACGCCGAAACAGCTATTTGGACGTTTTGACAAAAGTGGTCAAAACGGTGTAACAGCTATTTGAACACTTCGACGAAAATGATCATTATGCCACAACAGCTTTTTGGATATTTAGCCAAATGTGCTGAAATTGCCGAAATAACATCGGATTTTTTGATTTATTGCTCTGTACTTGAGAAATAGAAAAAAAATTGAACCAAATACAAACAAATACTTGCTCCAGACTGAACCTATTGAGATAATCAGAACATAATATATGCACATATACATAAAAAGGTTTTGAACATTTTTTGTAACGTTTGTAGCCTTCTATTTTGTTACTATCAACATGTTCCGTCACGTGTTAGGCTAAAAAAAGTAGTCTTCTTTCTTATGCAAAAAAGTAATTTTTCGATAGATACTTTCTAGAAAGAGGGTTCATTTAGGCTGAGTTAGGTCAGATAGTTTAGAAAAAGGAGTTTCCCTTTTTCCGAAAAACATTTTTGAAGTATGAAACGAGAAAAAAAAGGAAAAAGACTTCGAAAATTCCACCATTTTCGGCGAAATGCCCAAATAGCTGTTTTAGCGTTTTGACCACTTTCGACGAATAGCTGTTTCCGTGTCATAACCCCTTTTGGCAACTTGACCACTGGCTATTTTTGTCAACTTGACCACTGGCTATTTGCGGCAAAATGACCCCTTTCGACAAAGTGTCCATTGATCTGTTTCAGCGTTTTGACCAAAAACTAGATGACTTGTCCAACCGGCGACTGGTCCATTCGGCGAAGGGTAAGAGGCCCTCATGTTTCATCCAATTTAAGATTCAGGATTTGGTCAGATCTAATAATTTTTTGTGTAATGAAAATAATCTCACCGGCAAAACATTCGGTCCACTCAAAATATCAATGAAGATTGCCCATTAATAATTGATTAATTGAAGTCAGATTCCTAACATTTTCTTTAAACCGTGGGTAAATTCTTGAGGGATCTGGCACAAGTTGGCGATTTTAGGAAAATTTGCGTGCCTTATTCAAAACAAACTATGAAGTGACCGAGCTGTTACAACGTGTCGTTTCTAATTTTGTTATGAAGTTTCATCTTTTCCAAACATTCTCCTGATTCAACTGTTAAAACAACTTCATTTTGGTGAAAGATGCAGGGGTTTAAAAAAAATATGATATTTCCTTCTGTGGTGAAATCACTAGGTCAGTCATGACAGTCAATAAGTGAATAGGTGGAGTCATTATGTTGTTTTTTTGCGCTTTTGATCGGAAAGAATTTCATGCTGATGCCCGATCACAGATTGCAAATTGTTGATGACAACTCACGAAGAATACCAGTAATGAATTGACCACCACGAAGTCCAGACATGAACCGAATTGAACATGTTTGAAATGATCTCTCTACAAAATGTGTACCAGCTCATGTACAATTACATTGGCTCAGTGAAGTTTCAATTGAAGAACGACAGCAAATATGGTTATCACCATTAATAAAAATTTTAAAATAAGGAAAATCTTCAAAAATTAAGTTATTGTGATATTAGTACAAATGAAGAAAGATAATATTATAAATCACAGTGGGGAAGAGCTTGACCACAGGTTTTTTCAAAGTAAGTGGTGAAGAAGGATAAATTGGAGAGTTTACGGCAGCAACCTGACTTGATTGAATGTTCGTTCGTCCCGAGCACCTCACCGACATACATTATAAGAGGAAATATGTTTGACTGAATAAGGACCTTCAACCCTAGGGCTTGATTCGCGAATGAGTCGGAATGATTCATTTAGGAAATATCGATATTTTCTGCTGGAAACTGCATTAAAGAAGTGTCAAGAACCTTCGCAGTACGCACTGAAGATTCAATGATGACAAAAGAAGAATAAAGAAAGTATTACTATGGTCCTAGCTCTCAATGGTATACTATACTCTTACCCTAACTTCAAAATAATAATTGTCGACATACATTATTAATGTTATTTCATTGATATATGTATTGAAATCTCCTGAAATCGTTAACGACAAACAATACGATTTCAATTCGGTAAAAAAATGATTCCACTCGTTTTAAGAGAACGAGAATATCTTCCCATAGAAAACGATTCCAATTAATTGGGTCACTACTGTGGAAAGTTACTACGGACTTCTTCCAAATAATATACATACATGAAAATATATTGTGGTCATTCGGATAACGAATGTACAGGGTTTATCAAACAGGTGTTATTCAAAGAGTTATAGTAGAGAATGAAAGGAGCTTTTTTAGTTTTGACCTTGTAACAATTTTTGTCCAAAAACGTGTGTATTATTAAACGATTCCTAATGATATACCACAATTGACAGTTCAACTTGAAAACTCCGAATTAGCTGCTATAATTCCTCATTTTTTCGGAGACAATTTAGAGGTCTCTTTTGGATGGAACGCCTAGCTGCTGTTCAGAATGTGTACGGTGAAAAAGATAGTTTTATGCAATAGCGATAGGTAAGTCATCTGGAGAAACCCCTGCACTGATGAGATCCCGAAGCTCGAAACCAGTCTGTAGGTAGTATAGCGGTCCTGAACAATTTGGGCACCACTCGGCATTTAAGAAAGAATCACTTGCAGCTGTATTCGTCTTTACGAACCGTTGCATAGATATCGGGAAGATGTATTTGAATGTTCTGCATGGCATATGGCCAGGAAATTAGCTGTTTTTGTTGAAAAAATGCCAGTCGGGCAACCAGCCACTTCCATTTTATCTGGAATGGGAGTTTATTTTGGAGTGTTTCTTTTTTCTGCTCAGGTGGCGGTCGAGGCCATCTCACAGATGCTGAACACCTCGTGGGTAATAAATGCTCTGATGTGTTTTGGTTGGGTCAGGTTTGTACCGGATGACGGTCAAGAAGTCATCTGGGGACACCCTTGAACTGATGAGAGCCCAGAGCTCGAAACCGGTCTGTAGGTAGTCTACCGTTCCTGAACAATTTGGGCACAGCTGCTAAGCATTTTGAAAAGAATCACTTGCAGCTGTATTCGTCTTTACAAATCGTCGCATAGATATCGGGAAAAAATAATGCCATGTTCTGTATGGCGTATAGCCAGGAAAGTAGTTGTTTTTCTCTCATTATCTACAATTTTCGTTCATTTCATGACCTAATGTGGTAATGACTTTGAGTTTCTTCCTCTGTATGAATTTCATTCCATTTGGAGTATTCATCTTTCTCCTATTTGAAAAATTAGCTTATTATGATAGTTATTTGAAAGATTTTGGTAAACATGAAATTGAACCTGATTTTGAAATGACGATAAATTTGAAACATAATGAACCTATTGTGTATTGACCACGAAGATTAGCTTTCACTGAAGAAAAAAAATGCAAACTATACTACAATAAATGACGGATGATAACACTGGTCACATGGCCATTCTACAAGAAGTACAAATGGAATCAGCAACCATGCCATTGGACTTAATGCCAGCCAGTCGAAAATGTTCAAGAAATTTTTCATAGTATCAAAAGTTGAGTACATTTCGTGGTCAAATGATATTCAAATGCATTTGGATGAAACATACCTATGATAATCTCCTGGTGCCAAATAAATAATGCATTGATACAGTGTATTTCCATCGTGGGGGCGGTGAAGCAGTGAAGTTCTGAAGTCTCTATCTGATTTATTTTCCATCCAAGATTCACCCAAAAAGCTTTTCAGTGAATAAGTTACTCCTTTCACCTGAAATATTATATTATTATGAAATCAAATTGATGAGGCTGAGCCCGGTGAATTTCTTGATTAGGTCGTGTCTGGATCGATGAAGTGTAGTTATATCAATTATTAATCATTATTCTGAAGTAGAAGTCCATGGTATCTCAAAGTGAAGTAAATAGATGAAGTAGTAGTGAAACTCCCAGCCATCTCCAAAATTATTTAGTAGGACATGTTTCAATTCCATAAAGGTGCATTATCAGCTTAGATGTTATAAATCAATTCTACAACAAATGAAGGAATGGAAATTTAGCATAAATATATGGAAGAGAAATAGTTACATGGAGAAGAAAAATTCATATTTGAATTGTTAAAAATATCAGTTATAATTAAACAAGATTATAAAAGTGGCTAAATTGGGTAAAGGAGATTGGGCAAGTACGAAAAACCCGAAAAAGAACATTTTTTATAGTTATGGTGTTTTCATTTTTACGGTTATCACCAATGACTAATGACAAGGTGTATGAGAGAAAATTGCTCTCTTCCTGTTCTACAGTTCTCGAGGAGAGTCATGTTGTAGGTTATTGTTAAGTATAACTGTATTCAAGTCGTGTCGTCCGTGTAATGTGTATTCGTGAGAGTATCCTCATAGAATAAAGTGATAAACGTGTATAAACGGAGTTTTTTTTTTCCACTCGGGAAGAAGTAACATTTAATTCCAATGTGAAACTCTCTTGAGACGAAGGAATGTTGAACAGCCTGTTGAATAGAGAATTAAAGGCAGCAAACTTATGGGAATATGGGTAGAAAGAATCAAACGGAATTATTGCATCAGTGCCCGATATAATGGGGAAGTGAAATTATCGTTGTCTATTGTGATTATCAAGTCCAAAAAGGGGAGATGACTATCTTCGACAATTTCGATGGTTAAATTGATAGCGGGCAGAAAATTAAAAAAATCCAGTGACAGATTGACTTCACTCTTAGCATTTCACCTTTGTATGGCTTCTATCGATCAGCATCATTCGTTGACACTTGTCATTACCATTCACTTGTTATCAGGTTGGGATGAGTCATGACTTTTATAAAAAAGTCATCAAAGTCCGACTTTTTGAATTAAGTCAGACTTTTTTGAATTAATTCATTTGAAAAAAAAACAAACAAATTTCATTTACCCAAAGTGAAATAGAAAAAAAGAAACAAAAAACTATGTTTTTATTCCCTTCAGGAATCTTGTAGAATAACATCATGATATAACATGTCATTTTTTCAAAACAAAATTGAAAGTGATGATAGAATACAAAATAATAGATACATATAGATCCAGTATTATCCATAAAGTTCATAACACATGGAGAAAAAGTCTATTAGTAGAATATCGAAACATTTTTTCTGGGGGATCTATTATGCATGTCTGACTACTTGAAAGTCGATTTTGACACATGTCACTTGATCACTGGTATGGCGGTAGATTCAAAAAATTACGATGGCAAATGTGGGGATAGATGGGAAGATGAAGTTATTTAAAGAAAATAAAAATAGCTATTTTCAGTTTTCTCAAATAATAGCTGGAAACTCCATATGTGAGCATGAAACTGAATTCTATTCAACTTGTACATCATCAACATCACTGCTGTCAGAAAAAAAAGAGAATTGTAACAAAATTGAAGAATATTCGAAAAAAATAGAACTATTTCCAATTCTCCTCCAAAAATTGCTCGAAACTGAATGTGGAATATGTTCATGGATATTTTGTTATCTAACCCCACTTATAGTATTATTTTTATTTATCACCATACCAGTGATCACGTGACATGTGTCAAAATCGATTTTCAAGTTATCGGATATGCATAATGGATCGCCGAGAGAAAAAAATTCGATGCTGTGATAATGAAGCTGTTCTCATATGTTATGGACTTTATGGATAATACTTGATACTGTATACATATATCTGTTAGTAAAAATCTCTGTCATGCTTGAAATAACAAAGTCTTGCCAAAGTACGATCGAATTTTTCTGTTTGAACTAGTTAAAATCAAAGGCAATAGTGCAATATGTCTCATTTTTAAAAATTTGAATGAATTCATGACTTTTTCAAAAAAAGTCAATGGAATTAATTCACGAATTAAATCATTGATTTAATTCATATGAATTGATTCATGCCAACCCTGCTTGTTATTTGTCATTGGTTATAACGGTGAAAATGAAAATACCGCGGTTTTTCCCATCCTGGTCTCGCAGCAACTTTGTGAGCAAGCTGATTTCAAGCAAAAATATAACAAGTTGTCGTTTTGGAAATTATGGGGCTTGCCCAGTCTCCTTCACCCAATTCAACCACACTCTTCCATGTAATGTAGCAGAATTTGCATTCCTTCCTTTATTGTAGAATTAATGTATAACTACTGAGCTGATGATGAACCTATATAGGTTCGAAACATGCCCTACTACTTCATTGATCATTATGTTAGAGAGACGATGCAGAAATCACCACCTCCAATGAGTATATGCAGTGAAATTGTACAGAATGTAGGGTGTCCCAAATTGGTGGTTCACAGAGGGTGTGGCACAAGAAATATGCTGCTCTTTTGAAATTTATTCCATCGTCCTCATCTTACTTTGATCATTATTTGTTTGCTCAGGAGATATCACCACACTTTGAGTGGTCTTGCAGACCACGGAGTCGTGACCGAATTGATTTCAATTTGAAATAAAAATGATTATCATTTCAAAACTGACGGGAGGGCTAAGTTTTCTCTCGAAATTCTCACATATGAACTGACCAATTGCAAACCGAAGACACTAGGTCTTTCAATCCTGGTTGGTGTTAACAACGATGAAATCATGGATAGCGTAGCAAAGTTTGACAGTTCAACATAAAATACATATAGCTGTAGCTAACAGAATTAATCGATCTGCAAAGCAACAGGAGTATATCGAATATTCAGAACATCCTGATATCACTGTTGATGATCAAATTTTTCATGGATTTGTTGATCAACTTCACCTGATACCACAATACAAGATTCATTTTGAATTAAGTGAAAGTTCACTCTTTTGGGGTGTTGGTTGCCAACGTTGAGGTAGCAATATAGATAAACGAAATAAAAATGTTTTTGCCATGTTTTCAAAATTGAGGAAGAAATAGGCGTCATTGAATCTGGCGAGCGTTGAAGTAAGTGATCGGGCGTTAAAGCAATTTCACCGATTTTTCAGTAATATTTGGTAGAGTACTATTTGATCAGTGTTCGCCAGTGACATCCATGATTTCGCCAAATAGAATGGTCAACATTGATAACGTCATGCCCCAAAATATAGCTTGAAATCAAAGTAGAATACCTCACGAATTTCCAAACCAATTTGGAATCGGTTTTCACTGATGATTAGCCTTGTCGTGGCAATATAAAACTTCAGTGATTTCAGATAGAATTTCTGCAGGAATGAATGAGTGCAAAATTGCAATGTGGTCGGCACCTAACCGTTTGAACAGATAGGGAAAGTTTTCGAAATTTTCAAATTCAGAGCTTTGATAATTGTGTCATGAATACTCATTCAAAATTATACACTTTCTCAACGATTAATTGGATACAATTGGAAGTTGAGACTCTCATTCGAATAATCAACCTTGTATGCATAGTCTCCGGATATGTGATAGTAATCGAACTCAAAAACTCCTGAAGAAGTCTATACAAATCGATACAAGAAATACTGAATGATCGAATGAAGAATAACGTATTCCTCATTTGATGAAACATGTGTCACTAGTGGAATTATGGAGTATTACATCGTCATGAAGAAGTCTGGTGTCTGAACTCGAGATGATTTCGTCATTTCTTGGATCGGAGACCATATAATGATGGTGTGCATTTTTTCATCAATATGATGCATTTTCGTTTTGATGAATTAGAAAATTAGGAAATTGGAATTGTAGTCTCAGGAATATGAACTTTATGTCCATTCTCGATGATGCATATACAATGTGCGATAAAAAATATATCCAGATTGTTCCGGGACTAACAAGAACATTGTCAAAGGCGATGCGAGTTGCTATGTTCCGAATAAAAAATACAGAATCGGTTATTGTCGAAAAGTGTGAGGATCGCTTCATGGGGCTCAAACAGGAGGGTAATATGGAAGAAAATTTAGAATTGCCATAGATTCGTCAAAATGATTTTCATAATGATAAAAACATTCAGAAGGTAATTTATTTCATTTGCAATTGAATTTGAGAAGTCAATTAGAACTGAGTTGTATAATCGTAATAATCGTTTTTTTTTTATAAGTATATTTCTCATCTCAATGTCCAACTTTATTTGTAATTGTAATTCACTTAGTTATTGAATGTACCATAATAGAATGTCTCATTCGCTTGGTGCGTGAATAAATCGAAAAAAACAATCTAGTACCCACAATATAATCTTCGGAAGAACAAATTCCTTAGTCATTCAGTATAGTTGAAACTCTTGAATTTTCATCTCTCGATCATCTTTTCTACAGAGTGATTCATAAGGAATTAATGATATTCCACCTGCTATATTGGAAAATATGTTTCAGCTTGGTATCTGGAAATCAGATAACAAAAAAATATTTGACGAATTCTGTTGAAACAAGATAGCTTGCGTAACGCCTTGCTATACACTAACAATAATGGCTATTTTAATTTTCTCACGACAAAAAAAAATTATATTGGATTGTAAAGTATAACAACATCACTGACTTGATTATTCAAAATGTCAACACCCTGCATCTCAGTAAGTATCAATAAATATTCGTAACCCGAATTCATTGAACAAGAAATTTATATTATTCGCTGTTGAATCTGGCAAGTAAATTATTACTCATTCCTAATGAATCACCCTATATTAATGAACGTATTATAAATGTTTTCGAACGTTTTTTGAAGTCCCAAATTTCAGTTAAACCACATAAAAACTGATAGACAGAATATAAATTCTGAAGCTATCTCACTACAATGGCAGGTCAGAAATTATAAATTCCTTATGAATCACCCTGTAAAAAAATCAATTCTCATTTCACCTGTTTACTGAATAACTGAGGAACTTGTCCTTCTGAAGAAGGGTGCTAGATCAGTAAGATACATTTATAACAAGTATTCAGGAGTAAGCAACTCAGTTCTCATTGACTTTTTTATTCAATGGCAAATGAAAAAAATCTTCTCCATAATCTTTATTATTATGAAAAACATTTTGTCGAACATACCGATTTGCAAATATTCTTGTTCATCACGGAACAATCTGGACTTCTTTTTTATCGCACATTGTATATCCATCATCAAGAATGAAAATAAATTACATATTTCTGAAACTACAATCCCAATTTTTTTAATTTTCTAATTCATCATAACGAAAAATGCATACGTTCATTATAATTATGCTCTCCTATCCGAGAAATTACAAAACCATTTCTAGTTCAGACACCAGACGTCATGACGATGTAACACTTCAGAATTCACTAGTGACATAAAGAAAATCATTTATGAGGAATAAGTCAATATTAATTTGATCATTCGGTATTTTTTGTATCACTTTGTATAGATTTCTTCAGGAGTTTCTGTATTCGAACACATCACATATCCGAGAGACTATACAAACAAGGTTGCTTATTCGAACTAGAATCTCACCTTCAGCTTTTAATCAATTCATCATGAAGGAAATGCATTATTTTGAATGAATATTCATAACACGATTATCAAAGCTCTAAATTTGAAAATTGCGAAAACGTTCCGAGAGCACGCATCCATCATCAGGAATATCTGGATATACGTTAGATAAAAAAATGATCTGCTCAAACTCTGCTTTTACACTCATTCAATTATCACCTTGTAGAAATTCTAGCTGAAATCACTGAAGTCTCATATTGCCACGACAAATTGTTAATAGATTAGGCTAATTATCGGTGAAAACCAATTCCAAATTGGTAAGAAAATTCGTGAGTTATTCTTTACTCTGAATTTAGGCTATATTTTGCACCATGACGTTATCAATGTTGACGAGTTTGAATTCATCATTAGTAAGTTCAATATTAATATAAATAAATGTCTGATATGATTGTGCATAAAATGTTGTATGTATCACAGACGTAACTATCGTTTATATGGACACATGGATGTTAACATAATATCTCGCTTCATTCAGACTATTACGTACATTGTCTATGGAAACCTATTTTACGCCCTTGATACATATAGTTAATCAAAGAAGGAAAGACAGTATCAGATTTGTGCTCGAGCTTGTGTTGTCTCCTGACGCGTAGCAAAGGGATACCAAAAACCGAGTGCTAGAAACTAATATTTTCTCGTGTATAATACACTATTTTTTTCTGTGACAGAAAAAACGACGATTTAACAATGAGAAGATATAACATTGGAATAAAATCAGCAAATTATCGATGTGAAATAATATATGAAGATTTCAACTGGTAGTAGATCTGTGTTTGCAGACAACATTTTGCAGGCATATTTTGTGGACATCATTATTGTTGCTATGAAAACCTTTTGAAGTAATCGAATATGTGTTAATTCAATTCTGTTTTGATTTAAAAAAAATTGTGAACTTAGTGGTTGTTTAATAATAATCATAACCGTGAAGTCGAATGGGAGATAAAAGGACTTCTTCGTCGGAAACGGTGTTGTCTTATTTTTCGGAACTGGCACAACAAAAGCCATCAACAGTGCACCTATAGGAATATCCGTGGAAAAAGTACACACTTTTTCCCCGTGGGAAAAAAGTGATTCATGAAAAGTTACATTTTATGACCTGTCAACAGAGATGAAATGTCAAACTTCTGGGAGACATGACTATTGATCAATCATATGGTTGAGTTGAGATAGGACAACTTCAAAACAAAAGTGTGGATATTAATTGCCTAAGGAACCCTGTAATTTCACAAAATAGTGAAAGTTTGCTGGCAGGGTTCATAGTGGTACTATTCAATACTGTAGCAATTCTGAGCTATATACCCATCTCTCTACCCAGAAAAGGGAGAAAATAAGTCTGGTACTCGTCAATTTGGAACATTCTTCTTGTTTAAGGAATTTTTTTACATTTCCCATCGGTCAGACTGTCAAACAAGTTATGCTAGTCATGTATAGGCACATCAGTCACAGGACTCATCCTTGGACTTGGCGCTTGGATTTGGGTTTAACTATGTCTGTACAGTGTATCCTATTTTCGTTGAGACTACCAGGATTCTCGGTTGTTATTGAAGATAGCATAACTATTTCAGTTTTCGAGACACAGGGTGATTTTTAGAATGTATACTTTGAGAACTACGTTTAATAAAGAATTTCGCGTAGAATCCAATGGCGTACACATTTTTTTTTTCGGATTTTAGTTTTAGAAATATGACACAAACTCATTTATTTTTTCAACATACAACCTGTATTTCATTATCTTTTTGAATTCTCGATTTTTTTTCTTCAAAATGATACATAATACTTCATACATAGGATTTCAATAAATGCTGAAAAATCACTAAAACATAAAATTATGATGAACTTTTGCTAGTGTCCGGAAATTTTTCACATAGAATGTGTATTAGTTAGAGAATACTCAGTTATGACATTTTTTATAAAAGATCGGGTGAAAAAAAATATACTATCACTAATTTGCTTACGCGAATCGTAAGATAGATACCTAAAAACAACATACATATAAGAAAAAGAAGAAGTTCCGAATCAGAATAAAATGAAATGAATCACACATAATACTTCTTCAAGTGAAATTTGCATGGAAAATCCATGGCCCAGTAGCAAAAATTCATCATAATTCAATGTTTTAGTGTTTTTTCAGCATTTCTGAGATCCTATGTATCAAGTATCTTTCAATAATCATTTCACAGGGGAAAATAACGAATTCAACGATGATAAAATACAGGGTGTTCCATTGAAAAATATATAACTTCGTGACGTAAAAAATGTTAGGTAAAAAATGTTAGGTAAAAAATGTTAGTACGACACTGAATTCCACTAACCCTTCCCTGTTAGAAGTAGTTTTTAGTGCAGCATTATCTCTGATAACTTCGTAGATATAGAAGGGGGTTCAAAAAGTAGAAATTTTCAAAATTGCCTCATATCTCATAAACGGAAGTAGTTGTGCAAAATCTGATTAGGCCATCTTCAGTCTCACAAAACAGTAGGACAGGAACGTGAAAGCCGCAAGGGTCTATATTCAATAACAACTGAGAAACCCGGCAGTCACAACCAAAATGGGATGCGCTGTAGGTAGGTACAATGTGTATTATATGGTTCTATAGGGTACTAGCCCTAAGGCACAATGGTTTTGCTATGTTTTATCAACTTTAGATCCCGTTATATTACTCGCACAAGCCCTATGAGGGCTTTTAGAGTTAATTTGTCAACCAGAATGAGTTACACAACATTTAATATGATTGAAAGTTTGAGGAAACGGTACACTTCACTGTTTAGTTTATGAAGAAACGTACCTGTTCTACCTGTTCTTTGTCGACTGTTCCTAAATGGAGAACAGTACCATCACAAGGAGACACAAGGCAGCTTTCCTTATCTATCTCTCTAGCACCATCCTTCAAAGATCTTGCGAAAAAGTCTGACAGGCTTGGATAGGACTTCAGGTCTTCATTTTCAGCCTCAGAAATATTCACTCCAAAAGTGTTAGAGTAAAGTTGGTAAATCGATGGTCTCAGGAATTCAGGCAGATTTATATCTAAAATTAGTGAAGAACTCATATAGGGGGTGCAATAAGGATAACAACAGAAATTAAAAAGAAAATAACCTGTAGGCAGTGGGTGCAGAAGCTTTCACAGCCAGAGTCCATAGAGGAATCATGGTTTTGAGGATTGAACAATAACAACCTAATAAGAATACCAATGTTTGGCCTTTAACTATACAAGGCACCTTCTCAAATCCTAAAAGATTTCTTGGATAGTTAAAGATTAATCATCAGAAATCTATTTTCTAGTTAATACAATCCAATTCTGAAAATCATGGTTCTCCTACCAACCTGAAGGGAGAACAAAAAAGTGTTTTGGCACACAGCTGGCGTTTTTGTCAGTTGAGGCACATCACTGATTCTGAAAGAGAACGTAACAATAATTATAACGAAATAGGATCGTCTTTGCCAAAAATATTAGAAACATCTGGAAAGTTTAATAATTATTGGATCCAACAAAAAAACTAATCCATACATAATACTATGAATATGCTTGAATAATTTTTGGCAAAGATGGGTCAAACTTGGAGTGAATCAACAATATAATTATATTCAAGACCAATGGATTTTATTTTTTCAACTACATGAAATATTTCTGGATATTATCAGAACATAAACATATCGTTCCAAATTAGATTACACAAATCAACATCATTAATGAATAATTGAAGAAAATACATACCCACTCATCAGAAATTTCAAGAACGGCAAGTCTGATCATAAAAAGCTTAGTTTTTTGTATAAAATCTCAGAAGAAATTATTAAACCACAAAAAATTGATTCAAAATATTCACACAAAAAATGAATAAAGCAATAGATTCACTAAGAATATCTATGAATTCATAATAATTCAACCGGCAGTTTCCGTGTATTTTCTCTCTTCAAACTGAAAGTAATTTCTGGATTAACTTCAGAAAGTTATGCTTATTTTTCAAATGTGAACATAAAGTTCCACGACGTGCTGTGGGTGAGTTCTGGACAACCTACATTTTCTGAAGAAATTGCACGATTGGCTCGCGGTTTCAGCATCACAAAGACATCTACAGCAAGGAGAGAATCGACTGAACGAGGCTAACACAGCGTGTGAAATGAATTGATTACACTTTGGTCTATGTTTGCAATGCTGTCTGATCTCAGAAATTTTCTTTTGATAAAAAATCGGTCACATTATGATACATCGGGACTTTATCTTGAGAGATTTTAGGAATTCTTCCTCAATTCGCAATCAGATGAAAAATAATGCATTTTTTCAATAGTCATGCATTTCTTGAACTATTTCTCTAAAATTCGGTGAACACTGATTATTGTTGTATGCTGTATTTATTACTTGAAACTCAATGAGAGAGAGAGAGAGATTATACAGTATGTCTGAAAGCGTAACAAAATGACAGTAATCAATGAAATATGGAGATTACAATTATCACTTTTTCCATTCATATTCTTCAGGTTCCTTCAATGTGATATATTGACCACTATATATTATTAACGATTATACCGTGAGTCTCATACTCAATACTAGATAATAAAATCGGTTGAAAAGAATCATTGACATCAGGAAGAATTTGAAATAAAAAGTATCATCCTGTAAAATGCATGGAGATGCATTTTCGAAATTGATTTGAGATAAGAATATTATTTGAATAATGGCCATTGAGAAGGACGTTTCTGAATATTTTGTACCAAATTGGCCATTGCTTCAAACTGCGCATGTGCATTATTTTCCTGGAATGATTTCTTCTGAGAATCTTGCTATAATGATTCAATCGTCTCTTATTGACATTCTAATAATTATAGAGTTGTTTTGATTATGAGTGTTTTTAATTTGCAAGAAAATATTTTGAAGAATGTGAATTGATCATTTTTCATCCAATTGTGAATTGTGGGGAAATTATAATAAAGTCTTGAGATGAAGTCTCAATGTATCGTAATGTGGCTGACAATCAATAAAAAAAATACTTTGTGAGGCCAGAGAGTATCTCGGAAAAACAAGTTTCCAAAGAACAGTCCAATTCGGAGTGGTGCTCTTAGTGTGTTGAGGACTATAATATTTAGTTGTAGATCAAAATCATCAGACTAGATATGAATTTGGATTTTAAAATCTCCAACTTAATATGGAATGGTACATTATATGATGTAGCATTTGGAATAAATAAGTTGACAGCAATGTCAGAAAATAGATATTGTCACTATAATTGTTGTAATTTTCCAATTGAATATGTGATTCAACTACACTGTAACTTTTTTTTTTAATCCTCCCATTAATATTTTCCAGGGAATCAGAAGTTGATCATATTGTGCTCATTTGTTGGAGAATCGGAAATCATGAATATATTCATGAAAAAAATATCAAAAAAGTTGGTTTATAAAAAAGAGACATAACGACCGCAGCGCTACATGTTTTTCGCAACGAAATAAACTTAGTATACCCATATTTAGAACTAATTACCTTCATCATAATTTGAAATTCTATGAATATCACTTTAGTCAATTGCGAGGTAACGCATACAGATTTGAAAACCAACAATGGGTTGCGGAAATATCGAGTTAAAAAAAAATGGATAAATATGTTTCATTTCATTTGAACAGCAGTATTGATGTGATTTATCAAGTTATAATTCTCATTCGAAAAAATGCCATACCTAATGAAAATATAGGAAGTTTTTGTGGTAAAATAATTGAAATAAGCTACTTTGGAATAAATCATAATTTTATCAGAATTGAAAATCTTTCAATGGATCAGATTTGCCAATCAACCATCACCAAGCTTGAGAAAGTAATATTAAATATATGTATATATACTTCCAACATTTTATTACCTGCTATATATCCCCAATATCTAGAAAGGGTCCTCAGTGGTAACATGCAGTAACAGCTGATTTCCCATTGGGTAGCAACTTTGTCTCCCTGTCTCCTCCTGAAGGCTCTCCATTGCATCACAGCCACCAAACATATGCCAATGGGTAAAAAGCCAGTAATTATACTTTTCCATTCCTTTTTTCCTATAGCCATACAAAATCACAAGTTAAAATTCGTTTTCACTTCATTCTAAATTGGAACTACTTCTTATTTGACGAAATAATATATGAAGATAATAAAAACAATCAGACCTTCAGCTAAAAGATAGTCGAGAACAAATAAGAATTCAACATTTACTTTCTCCATGATAAATCGAATAAACGAGAACAAGAAGTAAGAATTCTCCTAACAATTTCATTCTTTTTATATGCAGACTTTAGGGGGTTATCTTGGAACTTTTAACCTTAGTTATCATTCAAAGAAAAAGATAAGGACTTACCCGCATGGATTTTTTGTTTTGTCGATAAATTTCTGGTGAAAACTTGGAGCAACCTTGAACTCTGGGATGGACTTTTTTGAGATACATACACACGATTCTTGAATGGCATAGCATGGTAAAATCTGTAAGATGTCCCAAATTTTTAGTAAATAATAATGAAATGAGAGGTCAATAGATCAAGTAAGATAATACTGGCAAGACAATTGTATCCACAACGTTGATATGAAATCAATAGGTCATCAACTACGAAGCAAATCATTGCCTGGCTGCATGGTACCGGACATTTGATATCTGAACTTTCTGATTATATTGTCTTGAAGATTATAATGTTTTCTATTCATTTCTGCATTAGTAAAGGCCTATGTCTATTTCACTGTATATAAGGTTTTACAGGGTGTGACTGTCTGCATAGGGGGCCTCCTTTAATATTCAGTCTAGAAAAAACTGAACACACAACCTCGTTCTCTCTTTCGAGACAATTTTATTTCAAAACTGATTAGTAGCCACCTTCCATTTTCGAAATAAGGTTTCACCATATAATTTTCCTAAAGCAATAATCGAAGTTGGATATAGCTTCATTGAAAGGGAATTTTTTCTCAACGGTAGCTATACTTATATAAATTTGTTATCTTTTGGATCGCACGAACTAAAATTCCTATAATACTCGTGGAACATCGAGCGTACCTAGGGAGGATAAGGAGAAGAGGTAGGTGTATGGTTCGAAATTATGAAAGGAAAACCAGCAAAGGGGCATATGCTAGAAAAACACTGAATAGTGCTTATGAAGATGTATAATAAATGGAAATAGGACCATTTAATGAGCTGCTTCATTTGATGAAACGACTTTGAGACAATATGTAATTGGTAGCCATTATCAGTTTAACATATTACCAAATGTACCTGACAAAACCATTATAAAATCGAGCAAATAATGAGGAAAATCCTAGGGAAATTCTCTAAGCACATAGAAAAAAAGGGCAAGTTCATTCTCTTGAATAAGCCAATAGACAGTTTTCTATTATTGTGAGTGACTCAATTCAATTTCTGTCACTACTATGATCTAGTTTGATGCAGAGTTATGTAATTTAGTTTTCATATTCATTCCATGTGATATGCTAGTCACATATTATATAATAAGTATAATAATGAGTTGGTATTCGTTGTTCATTTGATTGAAAGATTAATTGACTGATTAACACTTTACTAATGCATTTTCCATAAATCTGTCATATTATCAGCAAAATATTTCAAACTTAGGACAATCATTGGATGCATGTTCAAAGAGCGTCCAGATGCCTCGCTCTGGAGACAACGTATTATATAACTGAATATTTTATATAGTTTCCAGTTGCCCCAAATTCTGGGGCAACTGCGCCAATTGACCAGAAAAAATAATAAATATATATTTGCTGACACGTTAGAGATAAAACTAGTTTGTCAGTGGGGATTGCAGCAAAATAATGGTGAACTCATTACAGTTTGTCAGAGCTTCCGGAAATGTGTATTTCCATCATCGGGGCGACTACAATAGAAATTGAAATGTGTACATTGACAATAATATTGAGAATTGATCAAATGGTACTTACACTATGTGTATGTGTATGCCCTATCCAAATTCATCGCCTTTCAACATTCTTTAACACAATTGTTAACATCATCAAAAAATATTGTGAGTACCTTTACTTTGCTGCAATCCCCACTAGCGAGCTAGTTTAAATATACAGTGTGACCCACTTCTAATGGAAATACCCCTGTATCTCACGTAATCGTTGGGTAAGGATCCTGAAATTTGCTGAAGCGAGAGATATAGCAAAAATGCACTCTTTGACCAAGTGGGGTCATCTTTAGTGATATACACTGCTCGCCAACAGCCATGAAACCACCCCAATTCCAGAAAAATTATATCAAGAGTCAAAATAGGTTGAAAACAGGGTTGGAATAAGTCATGAGTTTTATAAAACAGTCAAAAAAGTCTGACTTCTTGAATTAATTCGGACTTTTTTGAATTAATTCATTTGAGAACAAATCAAATTCTATTTACTTGAACAAAATACAAGAACATCGAAAAAAATTGGTTTTTATTTCCGTTAAAAATCTCTAAGCGTGACAATAACATACTTAAAATATGCAATTTTTGCAATATAAACTGAGACTATTGATTGAATGAAAAATAATATTTATGCAAATTACATCAATCATTCACAATCTTCATTATAGAGGCGCTTTACAGTTATTTTCGATGAAATGCAGCAATATCCATGGCGCGCCTACGGATTGGTGTCACCTTGGAAAGCAATTTTTCGATGCATTGCAAGAAATGAGTCCGGACATATTAATTTGTATTGTGGTAATTTGTATTACTAATGCAATTATTCTAGTGGTGACATGTTAGATTTTCGGAATTTCACGCATCATTAGATACACGTTGGATCTTACTTTTCTTGCCTTTCTCATGGTTTCTTCTACCCAACTCTTGATCCAACTCATAACTCGGTGAGAAGTAATACACAGAATCTATTTTATTTATTTATTTATTTATTTATTTATCAATTCGGGTTTTCAACAGGTTGAACTAACAACCCAATAACAGAAAACCGCATATTACATTTTTTCCATAAATTCATGAAATATCGGTACGATATATCGTAGAGTAATAAACTTAATAGATATCATAATGTTCAGAAAAAGCATTCTGAAATTAAAAATAATAATAATAACGTAATAATGATAATAGTAAAAAAAATAATAACAATAACAACAATAATGATAATAATAATAATAATAATAATAATAATAAAAATAATGATTAATGATAATAATAATAATAATAATAATAAAAATAATGATGATTCATAATAATGATAAAAATAATAATAATAATAATAATGATAATAACATTAATATAATAATAATGACATGCTTATAATAAGAGTCTTCCTATGATATGTGGATATAAATATCACCTGAATACTGAATAAGCAGCATGTTTAACTACTGAAAGTGATCCATGAAATATATCAATATGACAAAAAAACAGATCATACAACCTCTGTATAGCAGTTATTGGAGAGTTCTCTGACGCATTCGTTCTATATCTTTGAGGATAAAACAGATTCGGAGATCGTAAGGAACGTCTTCCAACATTGAAATTCAACAATCTATGACAAAAAGACATTGCAAGCCGGTAATTCCGATTCAGTGTTGAAAAGCCTACATATTATTTTTGCCGGAAATATGAATTGGAGCAATCAATTGCATGCAATGAAATATTGTAAACTGTAAAGCGGCTCTTAGAAAATTTTCTTTTCCGCGTGTGGTGCTTCACGGTTGTCAGTTGTCAGATGCCATCGGATATTTCATTTTAAACTAGTTTGAATTGAAGGTAATAATGCGATTTGTTCCCATTTGATAAATTTTGAATTAATTCACGACTTATTTGAAAAGAGTCATTTTAATTAATTCACGAATTAAATCACTGACTTAATTTATATGAATTAATTCGTGCCAACCCTGGTTGAAAATCACTTCAGATTCGGAATCAGGACGCCCAATTCACTAACTATTCATATATTTCCTGGAAAATTTTCAGTTCTGAAAAATTAAATTTTGTCACACTCAATAATAACGTAAGATACGGGGGTGCTTCCATGAGAAGTGAGACAAAATTATTTTTTTCTGAACTGAAAATTATCTAGTAAAACTATGAATAGTTAGTGAATTGGGCGACCTGATTCCGAATCTGAAGTGATTTTCAACCTATTTTGACTCCTAATATCATTTTCCGGAAATTGGGGTGGTTCCATGGCTGTTGGCGAGCAGTGTATATCACTGCAGATGTCCTCACTTGGTTATAGAGTGCATTTTTGGTATATCTCGCGCACCAGCAAATTTCAGGATTTCCAACGGTTACGTTAAGATACAGGGGTGTTTTCATTAGAAGTGGGTCACACTGTATATACACTTTTTGTCGTGAAACTTCTTTCACGAACACCAAAATTTATGTGAAGAATTAAAACAACCAAGTTTTTGTTCTTTTATTTTTATCATCCACAAAAAAATTATCCACGAAATTTCGTGAAAACTTACCTCGTTATGTCCCAAACACACTGTGATTTTTTTTATTTGAAATATTAATTTTTTCACCTTATTTTGATTTAATATCTAAAAAGCATCCAAATTTTCGATTTGAGATTCTCTCGTCGGAATATCTGATTTTTCAAAAAAGTCGATGGGCTTTTTGTTCGTTGAAGAATCTACTTTCTGATAGTGTAAAAAATATACATTACTGTGGTAAACATTCTCAGAAAATGCAAAAAAAACGAAAAAGCAGCGTCCCATTTATCAGATGGAATCCCCTTTGAATCCTATCATTATTATTTAGAACAACTACTTTCGCATGGTTCTTGCATACTCAATGTTTTGTGGATTTGCAATTTTTTTGTTCATCAATGTTACATGATTTCAGTTTCGTAATGAAAAACAACGGAAATTAATATTAATTAATTCTTTTCCATCTAAAATAATGACAGTTCACTGAAGCCACACAATCTTTTGATAGTCAACAATTTCAGCAGAATGTTGAGTCGAAATATTTGGAATCAATAGTATGTCTGCTCACAAGTATCTGTCACTTTCAGTGATTTTTTTTTTTATTTCGGGGAATGAAAAAACAGCAGATTCAGTATTGTCAGTTGAATTCGGAATATAGTCACATGTATTCCTGATGAATCGTTAATTCGAGGAAAATTAACTATTTTCGATTGAATAATTAGCGTTTTATGTAAAAAGTAATAGGTAAAATATTGTACGATATTCGTATCGTAAATTCATATTACGATAATCGACGGGTTATCAAACTTGCCCTTCGCCTCGTTTGACAAATTTTCCAGCTCATTACACAC